CTGGCACACGCTCAACATGATATCCGTCTTCCAACATGGTCCATACCACGATAAGGATAGGTATGGCCTCCTGGCCGTCCTCAACTGCCCCAACCATGTACAGCGTATCGATAGAGTCTGACTCTCGAGGTGTCACCTGTGGGAAAACATGTGCCGCTGTGAACTCTGTTTCTAAGTCAGCATCATCCCACATCTCAAACCTCAAATAGCTGGTGAACCAAGCGAAGTCGAGTCCTCTCAAACTGCATGGTAGTGTCCAGGAATGCTCTAATCCCGTGGTAGAATGGCCAAGAGTAAAAGCCACATATTCCGCCCGTGTGCGACAGATAGCAACAAACTCCTGTTGTAAGCCTGCAAAGTCGACAATGTTAGTATTTCTCGACGTGTAGGCTTGGAACTCAGCCCAATGGGCTTCTGGAGCGGCTGCACTCAAAATGTGTCTACTCCATACTCGATGTTGCAGAATGTCTCGAGTGAATATGCCCGATGCAGATGTAGCGAATCTCTGCATGAAGCTTGTTCCATCTCCCAACTCAGGCCCAACATGCTGCTCCATTTGCGAGGTTGCAGTGTTATCCTCAAAATGCCTGAGAGCAGCCCCGTCACCTTCACTTCTTACGACCACTTGCCTCTGCTGTGGACAACTATCGCGGTCAATAACAACCACAAAGTCGAGGTATGAAAAATCAGGGACTTTCAGCACTTCATATGATTGGAACACTGCCTGGTGAACACCATCTTTGAGTGAGAAAAAACACTACCACATTCTTCGCAATTGCAAGCAGCTGTTGAAGATTCAACAACTGCCCGATCTGGTGCACCGTGTATTCTCTAGGACACACCACTGCACGCCTTGCGAGAAATGTTCTGCCACTGGAGATACGAATATCCTCAGTTCTCCAGATGTCAATCAAATGAACCACTCGCTCTGCGAGCAACTTGCGGTTTTCAAACGCAATTACATGCAACTGCACTGGTTCCAGGTTGGACATCCTTGGTGGCTGTGGCATCGGCGCTGCCACCCTTGGAATCTTGAAATCATCTGTGACCTTCCAATACGTTCGAAAGTTCCTGGACCAATTATCATCCTGCAAAAGCACACGATCACAATCATACACTACCGGGAGTGCATAATGAACTCTCCACACCGCAAGCACAATGACTTCAGTGTTAGGCACTAAATGCAGTTGATGCACCCATCTTCGTAGGTGGTCTTCCCTTACATAATTCGGCACTGCAAAGTTCGTCACCCCCAAAAGTGACTGGCGCCTATCCACAGCCTGGAGCACCTTGGCCCATTCTGTAATGAGCGTTGTTCTCGCTGCCACTCGGGGTTGCAGTGTTTCCCCCTTCGACCAATGCTTCCACAGAACTTGCAGTACTGTCAGCAATCACTTGCATCGTAGTCGAAGCCATCCTTTGCATCAATGCGGACTGTTCACCCTCCCAACTTCGTGTAGGGGTTGCAGTGTTTTCCCCCAAAGTAACAGGCAACAACTCCGTCGTAGCTGCTACTAATTGTGTTTGGGTGACCTTCGACTCTTGCAACATGACAACAAAGTCCTCCTCACCTTCAATGTTGTCGGGATATAGAGGATCAACAGTGGCCCTTCGAACATGGGTTGCAGTGTTTTCCCACGGAGAAGAATCTACTTCACTGTCAGCACTACTGGCATTCCGTATGTCATGCATCGCATTGATACTGCTTCCTTGTACATTCTCTTCTGCATCACCAAATGCCTGCGACGAGCCAACCGAGGCACATGTGCTCTCTGAACGAGAGTCATTCGAAATGCGAGGCTCAAGAATGATGGCCTCATATAGAAGCCAGGATTAGGGACAAACTCCTGGTTCCAACGCCACACTCGGTCCTCTTGCTGAACCACACATTCCATATCCTCTTCACACCCATGTGATGGATCGATTTTGGCAAAAAGTCCACCAACACTGAAATCATCCCATACTTCGCGAAACAAAATCGTGCCAGTGCGACTCACTGCATTGCGGATGACACGAACCAGAATGGGAACTACAGGAAAGGCAGACTTTGTGTAGAGGATCACCTGCGTCCCTTGCCTTCTACTATTGCGCATAGACACAGGATAAATGCCAAAATCACGGCCTTGAAGCCACTCCTCGAGGTCATTAAGAATGACAGACTGCAAACACTGATTGGTTTGCACCCTAACAAATCGATGCTCGGAATCCCATTGGTTTGCCTTCAGGTGATGATGCTTCCAAACCTTAACTGAAAAAGGTTTAGCCCTGAAGACACACTCCCCCCAGAGGCGATCATCTCAGAAAAACCTACGTGTCGCTGCATCAAGATGGAGGAATCACCCCAAGAACCTTGAGGGTACCAATACCCAGTAACAGCAACATGCTCGTCCGACTTTGATCCACCTCCACCAGAAGGAATTGACTGACCGTGAGGGACTAGACAGTACTTGCATTCAGGACCTACCAGCACAGGACTTTGGCTCAATTGCGTATCACTCAGCAGCAACGTGCAAAATTCAGCACTTGGCTGTGGAATGACCGGCCAGAGCTTCCATGGGCCTCCTACAAATACTCCATCCAAGAGCATATGAGGCCAATCTGGGTCAGCTAGATCATCTCGAGCAAAACGCTGTCTATGCACTTGCGAAGGGCCATGTATAACAACCTCAACTTGGTCACCAGGAACAGCCCCAAGCGTACTTGCCCAAACAGCATGGTTGGCTGGCTCAACTTCACTGTGTTGGACACTCTGTTTCGTCTCACCAACTTCAAAATCCGCACCTCGTGCAACTGTGTCTGTTCTTGGGTCCATCATCTGTGCATCAGACAGGAGCAAGTAAACCATACAAACCACCAGACGAACAGGCGGTTTGGGCTTACTCCGAACTAAAACTTGTAGTCGATCTCCACGAACTACCACTAGCTTCTTCCTCCTGCGGCATGGCTTGCGACAAACACTTCAGACACAACGTTTTAGGCCCATGAAGAAGCCAGCAAGCAATGTGACACAGTCAAGACAGATCCTCAAGAACAACATATCCCTCTGCATAATATCAATGACAGTCTCCTCCTTGGATGCATTCACAAGATGAGACCCTCGATTCCTTTCGTAGTGTTGCTTGTCACAGGAAGTGGAAAAACAGCCATGGCTCAATAGCCACTCATGGAAAATGCTGTCTCCCTTCCAATGACCGGCTTGGCCACATTCACGTGCTTTGTCGAAGCAGGCACTAAAGGCACTACTACTACTGCACAATTCACTGATCATGGCACTGTGTGCACTGGACTTGGCAGGCGCTAGGTGACCATCCAATGACCACCTAGGGTCTTTATACCCAAGACCAGCGAGCTCCCTTAAGAACAAAACCTTGACCGGGGACCAACTAGAAAAGAAGAACTGAAGTCCGTTAACTGGCTTGTGGTCATAGTCAGCCAAAAAAAAGAGGCGCCAAAAGACCATGCCAGCAACTTTGCCAATGCTCTTCACCACATGCAGTCGTGCCCTTGACCGCATAGCATTGCACCCACTCACCCTCTATGAACCTGTTTCTCCCGACGCTGCATTGTTCTTGGGCTTCTTCAAAACACGACCATCTTGCTTCTCTGCATGCTTTTCGAACTGGTGAGGTCGCATGACAACCAAAAGGCTGCGGAGCATGAAGAAATGGCGCCACTCCCTTGACTTCGGCATCCGCCATGAGTTTCTCGTCCGAAATCATGTCCGTTGCCTCTTCCTCTGGCAGCGGATAGGCATCTGCATCCACCGCCTCGGGCACATCTTCGCCATCCCCAAACTGTGACAAGGCCGACCTGCGAACTGCATCTTGCAGATCCCTCAGCTTGTCCTTCTTCTGCTGCAACTCTTGGATGGCTTCTGCTCTCTGTTCTTTGTAGGCAGCTTGTTCTCTGACATAAGCTGCTTGGATGGTTTGTGCAAATGCACCCAATCCTTGTCGATTTTGCCTACATCCTCTTTCGCCTTCAAGTACTGCTTTTTGGCTTGAGAGATCTTGTTCAGATCTCCATGCGTGATCTCGGCTTTTGGAGGCTGCGCCAACTGCGCATTTGCTGACTCCAAAATCTTGGCCTCGATCTCCTGGTTGTAGGCTGGACCTAAGGTCTTCTTCACTTCTTCCACCTTTGCTCGAACCTCGGCTGGGATCTCTGGTGGTTGAGGAGGCTGTGGTAACACTGGAGCGGGCGGCAACGGCAGGTCCTCCGTTACCTCGTCTGCTTCCACAGCAATTCTTGTCGCTGGTGTGGTCTGGACCCATGGCACTCCCGCCGGATCCTTGCCCCCTTTTTTCCGATTGGAAAGTGGGGTGAGACACAGCACATTCTCGCGAGCTTCTTTGCTCTCTCCCTTCTTCGGCTTCTGCTTCTTTCTCTTCCTGGATTTGGAGCGCGACTGAGTGTGAAGCACTGTCTGCCACCATGAGTGACATGAGTGGCAATACAACACATTCATCGGTGTTGTAACCCAACACTTTCTGCACATCCAATTCTTCTGGCTGGCCATTGAGGGAGGCATGGACCGTGATGCCGAAGCAACAGCTGTCGATATACGGCTAGCTTCTTGCCAGCCTTGATTCCAGCTCTTACACTGTGCCACCTCAAATAGGCTCGAGCACGACTCCGCCTCCGCCGGCGGTTGCGATGCCACGCAGCCTCCACTGCTAGAAGAAATCCAGGCCCAGAAATAGAGAACAAGCGAAAAGGTCGCCGGGCAGCTCAAAACCATGAACCGCGTCCGGCTAGGGTTTCTCAGCTAAAGCAAAGGGGTGTGGGCACTCACCCCTTTGCTCATGGAGCCCTGTCCAACACTTCTATGCCAAACAAGTCCCACTGAAAGGCAATATGTCGAGTCAGGCACGTGACCCAACCGCCCCAAAAATATAAACACATCGGCACGTTACTTAGAACGTCGGAAAACGCGGACAGTTTACATCATCAGGTCTTTCGAGGTAACTGTCAAAACTGCGGGCCCACGGCGCCCGCTCCTGCTGGTTGGAGCTTGCAGAGATATTCGCGTCTCCCAGCTCCTGGCAGCGGTCATTGCTGCTTCTTGGTATGCGTTTTTGGTTATATCGAAGGCCATCCCTATCAGGTTGGCCATTGAGGTTGCTGCCTCTTCATGATCGTTTTTTTGTGGTATACAGAATGCGTTGCATCTTGTTGATCGCCTCTGAGGCAAGGCCCAGTGGTGCAGCCAACGCGGCAGACACCTTCGGCACTTCCACAGCAAAGGTCACACACAGTTCGCCACAAAATGTGTTTTCAAACGAATGTCCACTTTGTGTTGCAAACGGAGAATCAGAGGTTCACCCGATGCGACGCGATGTTAGAGTTTGGCACATAAAGACATGGTCCGTGAAAGAACACAAATCAGAAACAGTGCATGCTCATTGCTGATGACGGTACGATTGCACGACGGTTCGCGAACAGGTACTTGTAGGTCCAGACTTGCCCAAGGTACGAAAGCGCGCGGAAGGCAAATGGTGGTCTAAGATGATATTCTGTATTCTGAATGTGATACGAAGCACCAAAACTTTGGTCAGAATGTACTTTAGACAGGCCATGCTATTAGGTTGGAGGCCATTGCTATTTGGATGGAGGCCATCGCTTGTATCTTTGGTCAGAATGTAATTTGAACATATCTATTAGCGTTGCACTTGCTACTAGTAGCGATGCCCTTTGAAGGCGTCAGTTGCCGAGCAAAACTGGATCGGTCTAGCTTGAGAACGGTCTGAATGCGACGTGAACGTTCGTCCGCATGACGGTGTCGGTGAGCTTCGCCATGGCGATTGACAAGGTGAACCGGTGGCGCTGTGGCGCTGTAGCGTGTCCACAAACACAGGGCGCGCAATCTTTCTGTGCACTGGGTAAGTCCCCCTGTTTAATTCAGAACAAAACGTTCACCCCAAAACGTTCACGTGTTGACGGTGGACGGTACCGATGTGCCGGTCTTTGCGTCCTCCGTCGCGAAAGCGTCCGTCCCCGTGAGACGGGACACGGAGAGAGGTCGGTTTGGGGTCGACAGGGCCGGTCACGGCAAGCAGTTGGCAAAGAGACGAGCACAGGTAGCTTTGCAAGCTAGGACGGTGCGACGGGATGTGGGCGAAGGCTTTCGAAGGGTTCTTTAAGGAAGCATCGAAACAAGGCATCCGAACACGTGTTTTTTTTGCAAAAACATGTCCGAGATGTTGAAATTTTGAGAATACTTTTGTCGAACACGGAATTTCCGCTCCCGACTGACCTCATCACTGTGGTACGGCAGTGGTCGCTGTGACCCGGAGCCACCCGGAATCTCCACTTCCAGCCTTGCTCAGTTTGTGCAACGCTTCTTCCCATCGCTAGTCGCTTGGAGGCCACTCTTAGATATTCAAAGCCTTCGAAATCCGAGCCGCAAAAAAATAACCCTTCTTGAGACGGTGTTTTCTTCGTATTCAAAAAACGCAAAGCGTATATGTCGCATTGCATCGTGCCGCCGCGTCGTATCCGTTTGGGCACTTCATTTCCTCCGTCAACTCGGCGACATCAGCCCCTTGCAGGGCTCGTTTGGAAAATCACAGCCAAACAAGAACAGGAACAAATAATAAGAATGAAGTGAAGTATAAGATATTTCGATGTGCAAGCCGTTTTGCATTACAATATCTTGCAGTGCATATCTTTTTTGCCATTGGCTATGGCCTAGGGCACTGCTGCAATCAGCCAGTGATTGTAGCTGTGCTGTAAAGCCACCGAGAGCTTTATGGTCCTCTTCAGCGCTCCAAGCAAACGGTTGGGCTCAAGTCACACAAAGCTGTGCTCAAAAAGAGAAATTCATGTTTCTTGTTGAATGTGCACTCAGAAAGCAATGCTGAATCTGCACATCTCTGCACATCTCTGCACCTCTGCTATTTGCCCCCAAATCTTCATTCTGTGGCTATCTAGCCTGGACTGGAGCACATGCCATGGCACGCCATGCAATGCTCATCCATAGAATCGAGGGGACTGAGCTTTGGACTGTCGAAGGATCAGGCCCAAGACTTGAACAAACTCCTCAGAGACCTGAAAAAAGAGCACAGCCAGAAGAAGCTCCTGGTTCTTTTACTAGGAACAAGAAGCTACTAGGGGCTCCTGGCATCGCTACTAGGAAGAAGCCACTAGGAACAAAGGGCATCGCTACTAGGAGCAAGGACGCTACTAGGTTGGAGGCCATTCCTACTAGGTTGGAGGCCATCGCTATCAGCCGGAACTCGCAAGAACATGTTGTCATCAGGAAAAAGAGGATCAGAACCTAATCGGGTCACCCTATCGACCGCAAATTGGAGAGAATCCATTATTCGCCTCGTTGGTTTTGTCCTCTTTACTTCCGTCTTCTTTGTCTTTGTCTCTGAGGTCCTTCTCCTTCTCCTCCTTGCTTGAGACGGAGGATGCCAATCGTTCAAAAATGACGTACGGTCTGTGCTACGTATACCATGCATGTACAACGATCTAGCTGTCTCCCTCTCTCTCCTCCGAGCTCTCCAAAGCAATGCCTGTCACGGCTTTTTGCACCTGAGGTGTTTTTTGTGCCGTGTGCCTTTTGGTCTCGACATAGAACGCACGACGGCTGCATTCTCTTCAAGCTGCTGCATTCTCTGAGGGTGGAAGGAGCCAAGGACCACCAAGATGGAAGAGAATGGAAGAGAAGAGAAAGGAGCCGCTGAGCCTGTGGAATCCAACTCGCCACCTCCCCTGCTAGTTCTTGTTCTTGCTTCCCCAATGACTCGAACCTCGCAACACCGAACTTCGACTCGGAACGACAGAGCACTCCAACGGATCCGTGGAATTGAGCTCCAAACTCCCGAAGCATTGTGCCCACTTTCCTCTCTGCCTAGGAACAAGTGCCTTACTAGTAGTAACAAGAAGCTACTAGGAACAAGTGCCACGCTACTAGGAACAAGTGCATCGCTTCTAGTAACAAGTGCCTTACTCCTAGGAGCGGACGCTACGAACGGGGCTCCTGGCCTCGCTACTAGGAACGATCGGACGCTACCTAGTAACAAGGGGCATCGCTACGAACGGGGCGCTCCTGGCCTTACTACCAATAACAAGAAGCTACGACAGTAGCTCCTGGCATTACTACTAGCTAGAACGCTACTAGGTTGAAGGCCATCTACAATGCTCGGAGCAGTGAACACGAAGTGAAGTGACGCTGGAACATGGTTTTGCCCATCACGTTGCCTGCTGCAGCAGGATTCGTAGCCCAGCCCCCCCATCAAGTTCCTTCCCACCAGTTTCTTGAACCTGAAGCAAAGGAAGCAGAAAGGACTCCGAACCAAATTGGAGAATAAAAGCAGCAAAAATTGGAGAATTGAAGCGATGGTGGACGACGATGATGTGTCCAAACACAACTGCCAACAGGCCTTCTTATGGCCTTCTTCGATTAAACTTTTGACTTTACGGAACATGTATCCATTTTCCTAGTAGGTTGGAGGCTATCGCTGGTATGTTGGTGGCCATTGATACATTAAGTGTTACTTTCTTTGTTACCTTATCATATTTGATCCAATGGAACAATGGAACAAAGAAAGTAACGCTCCTGCCGCGCCTGCCGCTGTTTCTCACACCAATGCTCCACATCATGGAGCACGGCATCCCGTAACAGGACTGCAGCCCGACCTGGCAGAAGGAAGCAAACCTTCCTCTAAAACGAAGCAACACACCTCCTTTAGCACTAGCATGTTCTACTATCTTATGCAAGCTTTTTTTGAGTACACTAAGTCCATTCCTTGCCAAACCCTTTCATTGAGATACTTCTGTTAACAAAATTAACTTCTCTTACTAGACAGCCCACTTGCTTTAAAACGTGTCCATTAAAGCTCCCTTTTTCACAAGGGCCCCATCATTTATCTACACTTGATCCTTACAAAAGTTTCTTCGTCGCAAGAGATGCTTCTTTCTCAAAGCACTTCATCCTTCTTGAATGTGGCTTTCAATTTGTGAGGGCCCCTCACCTTGTATGGGTTGGAGCTTCTTCATACCAAAGCTTTGCTGTCTGTTTGATTAAAGCTTGCTGTCTGTTTGATTTCATTAAATGAAAAGGACCAGAACTTGCTTGGGTGGCTACTTGCTCCTGGTAGTACGGCCAGGAGCTACTAGTAGCGTCCTTGCTCCTAGTAGCGATGCCCTTTGCTCCTAGTAGCTTCTTGTTACTAGTAGTAAGGCCAGGAGCCCCTAGTAGCTTCTTGTTACTAGTAGCTACTTGCTCCTAGCTGTATGTAGTCAAACACGGCCAATGACAAGTGTGGCTCCGAGTAGCAGCAAGCAGTGGCTGAAAGTATCTCCATTGGAGGCCATTGCTTCTAGGTTGCAGGCCATTGCTATTAGGTTGGATGCTATTGCATTTGGCTCAAATACCGTGCGCTGTGTCGGTGCACGGGGAGAGTTGGGCGCAAATCTAAATAAAGTCATCTAAAGTCTAAAGAAAACGAAGTAGAAGGAGACGGTGAAGTATTTGTCTGCTTTAAACATGAGATGGTTCCTCCATTGCTCCGGCAAGCTTTGCCCATTTCGTTTGGTCACCTTGGCCAGGTTTTCCCAGGTTCCGTTTCAGACCGACCGCCCTCCGAAATGAAGAATCCTTGTTTGGCTTTCAACAACAAAGCAATACCAAAAACAAAGAGCTTGGAGTTTGAACCAAATTGTTGTTGTTGTTGTTGTTGTGGTTGTTGTTGTTGTTGTTTAAACGAGTTTGGGAACTGTTTTAACATGTCAATGGACAAAAAGATTTCGATGTTTGAATATGTCTCACTCACTCTATCGTGCCAGCTCCGCATTGTGCTGTCACGCGGTTCTCCAAGGCTAGCAGTCGACTAATTTGACTTGGCCTCAAACTTTGCTCCGACTCGGAAAAGAAAAGGACTTGAAAAGGATCAAGTACAAATGGACAAGTTTGTCATGCAAGTATCATGCATCGCTATTAGATTGGAGGCCATCGCTACTTAATATGAAGGAAAACACATGAAATTGAACGAAAAGCGTGGCCCAACAAGGCCATCCGCCATCCAAGGCCCCAGCCAACTCGAAGTGTACGTCCTCGGACAAGGATAGGCGAGTTGCTCGAGTCACTTGCTCATAGTCTTTTGCATGTCTAAAGGAAACTCTCGCTCTGTCCTCTTTCCTTTCTTTTCAAGAGTTTCGTGCCAAGTGCCACAGACAAGGAAATTCACCTTCGTCTGAAAGAGCCTTTGAGGTTTGAGCCCTCGACGTCCACCGCTCTCCGCCCTGTAAGGCTTTCAGCTCCTGCACGATGAGTTCCAGATCGCCCTGAAGCTTCGAACGCACCGCACGTGAAGATCGACCCTTGGGACCTGAAACCGAAGTGTGAACGAGCCGAAAAGAGCACGGAATCTAGCATCAAATTGGCATCAAATGTGCAAGATGAAAAAGAAAGAGAGAAAACCAAGGAGAAAAGAGCACTTGGAATTTTCGAAGCTGAACAAAGTCGACCCCTCCTCTTTAAACGCTTCGGTTCGTCTCTCTCAACGACGCTTCGCTCGGCCTTCTCTTCCAGCATTCGGATTCGTCTCTGACGCTCTTCATTCAGCCGCTCCATATTCCTCTGTGCCTGAAACGCATCACATCATGTCACATTCATTCCGCCTCTAGGAACAAGTGCCTCGCTAGCAGTAACAAGTGCCTTACTAGTAGTAACAAGAAGCTAATCCATTGCTACTAGGTTGGAGGCCATCGCTATTGGAAACAACGAAAAAAGAAAAGGAAGAAAGGTCTAGTCCATTTAGACACGAACGACGTCAGCGTGGACGTCACCGTGTCAGATCTTTGAGACTTCTGGCGTTAGTAGATTCTTGTTACTAGTAGTGATGCCCTTAGCTACGTACTAGTAGCGTCCTTGCTACTAGTAGCGATGCACCTTGTTACTAGTACCTTCTTGTTACTAGTAGTAAGGCCAGGAGCTACTAGTAGCTTCTTGCTCCTACTCTCTTGGAAGAAAGTCCGTGCTATGATCTAGACATTTTCCATGTTCAGACGTGTCCAGAAAGACACATAGTGGAAACATAGCAAGTGGTTCAACTTGGTCTACAATTATTGACGTGCTATCCTGAGAAGGCATTAATTCCTTTATCAGGCGGTTTTATGCACTATAGTGATGTATTGAGGTGAAAGCGTTGACCTGCAGCCCATAGCATTGCATTCGAGTATTAGACAAAGAAAACCACTCGTGCGCTGACCATACTTGGGTGCACAATTCAAAGGCAAGACGTCGGTCACTGACATCTCCATTCGTGCTGCCTGAGATGTTTTTCTGCGTCAAATCAGAACGTGAAAAACATGTCCAAGACGTTACCCTTTTATAAGAACTCAATGTCTCAACTCATCTCGACTCATATCATCAAAGCTATAACTATAAATTGTATCCAACTATATTTGGAAACAATTGTATCATATCAAAGCATATCTTGTCATCCCGATCTTGAAAAGGTCCTGACCGGACGGTTCCCCTCCCCATCTAATAATAGGAATGGCCTCCAACCTAAAATAGGAGTGGCCTCCAACCTATAATAGGAACGGCCTCCAACCTATAATAGGAATGGCATTCAACCTATATTAGGAATGGCATTCAACCTATAATAGGAATGGCCTCCAACCTGTAATAGGAATGGCATTCAACCTATAATAGGAATGGCCTCCAACCTATAATAGGAATGGCATCCAACTTAATAGGAGTGGCCTCCAACCTATTGGCGATGGTCTCCAACCTAATAGGAATGGCCTCCAACCTAAGAGCGAAAGAATATGTTGGGTTGCAAGCCTCAACTGCGTCACAAACTGTGGAAGAACTGGCTTTTGAAAGGCTTTGCAAGTCAACAAAAGGCTTGGAAAGCGGAAAGAATCAAAGCCATGCCGAAGCCAAGCCCAAACTTGCCTCTTGTTCGAGTCTCTTCCTTTCCTCTTCGTGTTCCAAGGATTGCTTCTCTTTGTCCTTGAACAATCATATTGAAACTTAGACGATATTGAAAAAGGACGAACGACAGTGTCATGGAAAGAATCTTTGCGACTTGTTTGGTTCGACAGTGTCTACAGCCTCCCATGTCTGCTTCATGAATAGTTCCATCTCGGCAATTTGGTTCTCGTAGCGGCCTCACGAAGTGCATTCTTCAGTCTCGTCATTAATAAGGCCTTCTAGGCGGGTCAGAAGAGCAGAAGGAATCCAAGATCGAAGGCCTCCAACCTACTCGCTTCTAGCTACGTTCGTAGCTTCTTGTTACTAGTAGTACGGCCAGGAGCTACGTTCGTAGCGTCCTTGCTCCGTTCGGTTCGATGCCCTTGTTACTAATAGCAATGGTTTTCGAAGAAGAAAGGCCTTAGGCCTTTCTCGAAATTCGAGCAAAAAGTCGTGTTGTCACCGAAGAGATCGACAGCACTCGGCATATCCTTCGCACAGTCAGCTGTGTATCTGGGTGCTATGACACATCCTAAGGGTTGATGTGTGGCCAGGTGTTTGATCAAAACTCTTATTAGGTTGGAAGCCATCGCTATTGGGTTGGAGGCCATTCCTTGTGGTTGAAGCTTCACATAGCTACTAGGTTGGAGGCCTTTGCTATTAGGTTGGAGGCCGCTTGTAGGTTGGAGGCCATTGCTTCTGGTTGAAGCTTCACATTGAGCTTCATGCAAGTGTTGTTTGCTTGACCTGCTGAGGTGCCCACTGGTGTCTGCCACGCCCGTTGCCTGCTCCGCCAGCTTAGCGCGCAAGGCCTGGTAGAGATGAATCAAAGCACACTTGCAGAATCAGGAGTTTCCATGGCACAGCAACAAAGCCACGGCCTTGCCTCTACTTCCTCTTCCAATTTGGCAATCTGTTCAGCCTCGTCATTCCTGAACGGATGTGTGGGTGGGCAAAATCCACCTGCATGAATCGGGGCTGCGGCTTTGTGGCATTGACCTGCAAATCTTGAAAAAGTGCCATTGCTTTTCAACCACATGTTCAAGGAATGAAAGAGGACAATGACAAAAAAACAACTGAAAAGTCTAAAGGTCTAATTAAGATACTTTTAAAAAAAATACAAAACGTTATTAATGCAGTTGTTGCACTGCTTCTTGGATGCGCTACGAGTAGACTCTACTCGCTTGCTTTGAGTTCCAAGCTTTGATGGTCTTGGCACGCCTTGAGTGATCCAATCGGTCGATCATTGCGACAAGCTTAGAAGCTACGAATGGCCTCCGCCCTAGGAGCAAGGACGCTAGGGGCTCCTGGCCTCCACCCTAGTAGCCTCTCAAAACTAGTCGGACAAGGGTAGGAGGTGAAGCCTCGGCATTGGCCCCCAGACCTTGAGACGCAAAGCGCCGCGAAGCCCTTTTTCGATCGAGGTTTTGCTCCAAATCGGGACGTCCCCACGCGAGGCCAACGACTGTCGACCAAACGAAGATTTGGACTAACCAAATCACTCGCAATGTGGTGAGTATCCGCCCGGTCAGACTCATTTGCCCTCGCAATACCACAGCATGTCAGCACCAAATCACATCTTTGAAGGCAACGCCCACTTGCAGAATGTTGTCTTTGCCACAATCAAAAAGGTAGAAGCAGCCGGCGGTTGCAACAGGTGGAATGCTGCATTCTCCAAGATCGTTAACTCCACAAGCAACAGCACTCCCATCACTCGCAAAAGCACTGAATGAGCATATCCTGCAGAACACATTGCCACAAACCAGAGAATGACTTGAGTAGAGAATACATCTTGGGCCAAAAGGTGTTCATGTTGTTTCTTTCGCTTGCCTGGGTTTCCCAAGCCCAACTCAGACTTTCATGCTCCAGGACAAGCCATGATCCCCCAATTGTGTTCAATATGATTCATTGTCATTGATGAGATGTTCCTTTGATCGGAAACCAAAAAGGAAGAATGCTGCCAGCATGTTAGTGACTGTCAATGTGGTCTCACACATACTAAAACTAAATTCAATTGTAAGCCCCTCCCACCTACTAGCGATGGCCTCCACCCTAGTAGCGATGGTCTCCAACCTGATAGAAAATAATCACATCCTTCCCTATGCACACCCTGTAATTATACTCCCCAGTCATTCAAACCCTCAAACACCACTCAAGTCATCGCTGCATCAATGTCAAGAGGGTCAAAATATCTGACAGCTGTCTTCCGGGGGATTACTGCCCTAAACCAGGTACCTCTATGCTCACAGTTTCCACTTAGTAGGAGACCACGCAGGGTCTGCGAACGAGTTGGCACGACGGTCACTTAGATTCGGCAGTGCATTTTACATGGGCCGAATCACGCGACGTGTCGTTTCCGTCACCAGTAGTAACAAGTGCCACGCTACTAGGAACAAGTGCACCGCTAGTAGTAACAAGTGCCTTACTAGTAGTAACAAGAAGCTATTTGTAACAAGTGCATCGCTTCTAGTAACAAGTGCCTTAGTAACACCCCAACACCGTCACCATT